GAACAAGAATGGTATAAATTTGCAAATATACTATATAATACATAAATTTGCAAATATACTATATAATACATAAATTTGCAAATATACTATATAATACAATTTTTTGTATATTTTCATATACATTGCGAATATCCTTTTTATGAAATGTATTCTAACTTCTGAAAATACATGTAAGTTATATTTAGTTGATAAAGATTGAATTAGAAATTTAATTATTTATTTACACATTTTCTATTAAAATAAATCACTAATGTCATTACAAATATGTTTTAGATATATAATCAACATGTAAATATTTTAAATTAATATGAATTGCATACACATAATTAAAATAATCTTTCCTAATTTTTTTAGGAAAGGCACTGATTGTTCCGTACTCTCGGTTTCTGAACTAGACATTTTTTATAATTTAATCTTCACTTTTAGAAACGATATTCAATTACGGAGATTATTGTCCTACGCAGAAAATGCTTCGTAACTTCGTTTGTTTCCAAAGCAAGACGAACAAGCTAGATAACTACACGCGCCAAGAGATAACTGATGAATATAACAAATAACTGACAAACAAACAAATGACAAACTGCTTGCAGATCGCGGGATCCATGCAGTTCCTAACTTATCGGCCTGATTTACCAGGCCAGGCAGAGTCAATAATGTTGAATTTGTTGATTCTGTCGGGAATCGAACTCAGAATTTCTGGCGTAACAGATTAGTGTGCTGTCTGCTACGCTCGTGCCTCGGAAGGGATACTTTAGCAGTGATATAGAATAATAAGTAATAAGAAATATAATAAATAATTGTCAATCTATAATAAATAATCTTTATTTGTTTCATCTTTCTTTAATTTAGAAATGCATAAATTGCTCCGTGTTAAAAAATTATTTAAAGTATTAATACACAAATTAATAAAATAGTAAATAATTTAAAAGTTTAATTAATTAATAAAATAGTGGATAATTTAAGTTTAATCGCACAGAAGGAATTGAAAAAATACTTATTATGATTATCGAGATCGAGAGTCTCGACTCGAGACCGAGATCGAGAAGAGATTGTCATTGTCGAGACCAAGCCGATACCGAAACTAGACTGAAAATTTCAAGACCAAATCGAGACCGAGACGAGACTTGAGTTAATCCCGTCTCGTCTCGGCGAGACCGAATCACTATCAAGATCTTCGTTTCATTAATAATATCATTGAATTAACAAAATTATTTCCAATTAGACTAATGCTGTAATTGATTTAACAGCATTTTTTTCTCAGTGTATAGTCTATAAAATTAGCTACAATAATTTTATCAAATTATTTATTATCATTATTTATTATCAGATTATTTAATTTACCCTACTAATGCAATAAAATAAAACGATTTATTAAGAATAATTAACTTTGATAAACTTTAAATTGTATATAAATAATAAATCTTATTTATATAAAAACAATATATTCTCTTAATTTCTATAAACTTTCGACTGCGTTGATTTAGAAATGCATAAATTGCTCCGTGTTAAAAAAATTATTTAAAGTATTAATACACAAATTAATAAAATAGTAAATAATTTAAAAGTTTAATTAATTAATAAAATAGTGGATAATTTAAGTTTAATCGCATAGAAGGAAAGTGCGATGATTTAATCGAACAAAAGAAAAAAATTATGATTTGCAATTTTTTTTATCTTTGATCAAAATATTAATAATAGTTAAAAAAGAACATATAAATTTATATGTGTGTGCATTATTTTATTATCCTGACGCTGTTTGAAGAGATTGCATGTACAGATACGCTGAAAAACATGTAAGTTTCAAATTGAATAACAGTGATCAAAACGAGGTTACATATCTTTCTATGGATAACAATAATTTTGTCTACATTAGGTAGTTTTAGATGCACCATGAAGTTAATTTTACCGAATTAAACAGAGTTGCGAACCATTGTGCGCGAAGTATAATGGGTACAAATACATTTCAACAGGTTAAAATGGGCCGCGCGCAAGCTTTTTCTCATTTTCACCAGCGGAACCGACGAACCAGCCGGTAGTTTGCGATAAAATATGGCCAGCATCGTTGTTTATTTACTGTCTTTATGACTACCTTGGATGTGTATGCCGGAATGTCTAAACTTGACACCTTTTGTTCATGTTACGCAGGCCAGACTATCTACAAAACCTGCTGTATCACGTTTGCAATATGAACTATAAAAACCATTTCCTGGCTGCCAAGAACCAGTTTCTCTTGCGTGCTGTCATTTTCCAAATAATGCTGAATTTAATAGAAAATTAGCAGAATTGGTATAATAACTCGTTTGATAGCGATGATTCAATTTGCATTGTATTTCTGTCCAAATATAGAAGATATTAAAATCGAAAAATTTGAATTATATTCTGCATATTTTACCTCGTGTATATTTCTATAACATATATATATATTTATATATATATAAAAATATGTTTAAAACCTAATAAATTCTCTGTTGCATAATTTCCAGGAACGTAGCATAACAAAAATATTTCGACGACATTAACAATAAAACTAATGACTACGCATAAATTCTCTGTGAGATTTAATGCCTTTAGGATTTCAAAATATTTATCTAATAAAAATATTCCGGAGAAACATCCTTATTTTTAAATTAAAAAAAAAATTTATAGCAGTTCTAGAATTAACGAATCTAATTGAGAAGAAAAAATCCTGGGAATTTTTAATTACGATATAATATTAATAAATAAGGTCAAGAAAATTTCAGTAATAGTTTTATATCTAATCGGTGTGTATTTATAGTGCAGTCAGACACTATTTATTTTTTCCACTGGAAATATTTCACATTATTATACGTGATTTTTCTTTTCTATTAAGGGTATATATGAGAGTATGATATGATATTAAGGGTGTGATTAAGAAATATTCGAACTTGAAATATTCAATCAAAAATTTGCGCTCGTTTCACTTCATTCATAAAGACGTTCTTGCATGGTTAAGCAAGACGGTCAGAGAACGATGATGTTTCGCGTCCCGTGGTTACTTCAGTCTCCGACTCGGTCAGATTGGCGTCTCGTATTTATAGTTTGACCTAATCTTCAGAAGAGTCGAAGACGACAAGACGCGCGACGTGCGGGAGAGAGAAATTATCACGGTATCTCGACTTTCCGTTTTCCCTGAACGTCGTCATGCCTCTGGTATTCGTTTTCGTTCCGTAGCATCGGCGGGGCAGCGACGAAATTAACGTCGAAGAGGAGAGGTGAGTAACCCGCTCTCTGAATTCGGCAACAACAGCCTCCTTCTCGTTGCTTCCCTCGCGTGTGACGCGTCTACTTTACGTAACTTTCCACTATTCTGATTTTAAAGCAGTGATTCTTCTCGATTATATTCGCAGAAATCTCTTTCTCTACAGATTTTTCAAAAATATAATTTCTATTATAAACAAATTAATATCAAATTAAATTATTACAAATCATTATTATTTCAACAGATAGAAATTACGATTTTTGTCATACAGGCACTCTATCATTTTCTTTTTTCACGAAAGAGTTGAATAATTTATCTTGTGTCGTACACAAAATTTGACGTACATAAACTATTAAACGTAATACAATTAATATATATATATATATATATATATATATATATATATACACACATAATTTGAAAATATATACGATAAGATAGAAAGCATATGAACTTTCTATATCTCTCTTGAATGAGACGGCGCGTCGTGATTTATCAAGCGATTTTTACCTTGCGGGAACGCAAGCGATTTGTCCTGCTTTCGGCGTGCAAGTTACGTAAACAGCAGCCACGAGAAATAAAAGAACGACATACGTATCTGAGCCGTGATATCGTCTTATCCTCAGGGGAGACTTTAAGCTGGCCAGAGCTTAACGATCGCGGCAACAATGGCCACTTTGGCGAAGAGAAAACGACTGCTCGTTCGCCATCTCTTCTTCTCGTCTCGGGAGAAAGAAATTCTCCGACTCCTTCGTCGTCCTCGCTTGACGGCCAATTAAGGGGACCGATTACCCTCGCTCGTATTATTCGCTCAAATAAAATGCGTTACGTTTTGCATCAGAACCTCGATTCATATAATTGCGAGAACGCATTTCAGGGCGAAGCGGCATTTGCGCGGTGTCGCGTTTAAAAAGTTGCTCTGAAAGCTTTTCTCAAAATTTTTGTTTAGCAGTTGCCTCATCCTTTTGCAAAACTTTTTTTTACAAAATTACACGCACTTTCAGCGACATGCTAATTGCATGCATTTTCCCGAATTACTTTTAACAGCATGGAACTATTCCTATACTGTATTTGTATGTAATGGCATTACTTACATTCAATTTTTATCAAACCTTATGAGTGTAAAACCACGAGATTTTACACTCACGGTTAAATATAATTTTTCATAAAAAGAACACAAAGAAAACACGTGACTGTATACTCACACTTACAGATATCCTTATGAATAAAATTAATTTACTTTGATTTTCCAATCGATTGCTATCTGATTATTTAACGTGTGACAGATATAATAGAAAATTTCATAGACTTTTTAGAAAGCAAGACGTAAATTATTACCAGCCACGCTGTAATGATTTTAGGCGTGTACATAAACAGTCCATTAAAACGTAATGATATCGAATTATGTTTTCTTTGATGGACCTTACTTTTCAACGAAACATACGGAAAAAGGGAAAAATACCGTTTAGAGAAAAATCATGGCTCCCCCC